ATCTGGCTTCTGCGTGTCTGTTTGCAGCACCCCTGGGGCGAGCTGGGGCTTCCTGTAACATGTAAAATATGAGTGTGAACTCAGGGTTCATGGCAAGGAACAGGAGGTCAGGCCTCCGTTCGGATCCAAGTAGACACACTGGGAGTTTGCAGCTGTTTTTCTGTACGTGTAATGACACCACCCCCTCCCCAGCCACCAGGCACCCTAGCGCCGTTTTTTGATAAAATGTGCCACAATCAGTGTGCTACTTGCAGATTTATTCATATCAATTTTTGCAATTTATATATTCAGAGACAAGATTGCTATTTCGGCGACTTTATGTTGGATGTGGTACGTTTGCGTCTAGAGAGAAAGGGGGAAAGAGGTATGGGGCAGGGAGGGTGGGCAAGAGCGAAAAGAAATTAAGTCTGTTCCTTGGGCCACCAGCTGGGGTGTTGTCAAGGAGACAAAGCATCCCGCAGGAGGGTCTGTGTCCCCCTTTTGCTCAGCGGTCACTTTCTGCCCAGACTTGGAGGTGGCACATCTATTGCTTCTGGCCCAGAAGAAGGCCATGAATAGCTCCCCTGAGGAGGAGAGTGGGCTTGGGTGGTGGGGAAAACCCCTCATAGACAAGGCCACCTGAAGAAAGGCCTTCTTCCCATCCTCCCTCAAGGTCAAGAACAGGGTCAAGAAAACCTTGGCCTGGGCCTCCACTGGGGCCTGGCGGGGAGCACCCAGCCCTTCCCGAGTCCCTTGCACCCTCTAAATGACCAGGGAATTGAGCCCGGTGTGACATGCCCACTTGCAGAAATTCTCTCCCCTGCCCGAAGCCTCAGACTGGATTTCCACCGAAGGAGGACATGGTGGAGCGAGCACGGAGATTTAGCCCCCCAGCCTGGGGAATGAATGCTCCTCAGTGGGACGGTGCTAATTGCTGAGCTTGGTGCAAAGATCATTTCGAGGCGTTTAAGAAATACATGATTTTTATTAGTATAACTGTTTCATGTAGGAGTTATTCCTCAGCAAAGGGCAAAAGCTCTGCCAGCCTCGCATTATTAGCCTAATTCTACTTAATTGTTTCCGAGAATAAGGGCTCCCTGAGCACACATTCCAAACCTTAGTAAGTCGGTGGTGGTGGGAGTGATTCCTGGGTGGGGAGCTGCTGCCCTTTGGGGCTGAGGGATGGGGTGTCAGGGCTGAGCGCTGCTGGAACAAATCTGTGCTTGGCAAGTCAGGGGTGGGGGCTGATAAGGGGAGTCTTCGTGAAGACACGAGGTGACGTGACAGTGTGAAAATGTGCCCTTTTTTGTTGTTTGGACCCGTTTCTCTATGAGGATCTCAGTCTTCATCTTGGGGCTTCATTTAATTCTGTTTCACAGATTTAGAAGTTGGCCCCATGGCATGTTTTAAATAAAGCAAATAAATGACTGAGCAAATGTACCAGATTTGTTCTTTGTTCTTCAGTCTCAAAATTTGGCCTGGAGAAATTGTCTCAGTCCTGGTATTAAATAAGATGCCCATGTTCATCTGACAAAGAATGTGGGGTGTGTTGTGAGACATGGCTGTGTTTCCAGTTATTGCTCAATAACTGAGCTTTCTTACGGACGGTTTCCTTTCCAGGGTGGGAAGTGACTTTTCAGTTCCCAGCTTTTTGCTCTAATTATAGCAAAATAAACATAAAATGTACCATGTTGACCATTTCAAAGTGTACACTTCCAGTCGTGTTAAGCACATTCACACTGCTGTGCAACCAGTTTCCAGAACTCTTTTCGTCTTGCAACACTGAACTCTGTCCCCATTAAACAATAGCTCCCATTTTCCTCTTCCCAGCCCCAGGCTACCGCCTTCCCATGTCTCTCTATGAACTTGACTTTCCAGATACCGCGTGGAAGTGGGAATCAGACAGCACTGGTCTTTTGTTCACTGGCTTATTTCAGTTATTTGTACACTACCCTCAAGGTTCCCCCATGTTGTAGCATATGGCAGGGTTTTCTTACTTTTTAAGGCTGAATAATATTCCATGGTGTGTATATATCCCCTTTTGCTTATCTATTCATCTGTCAGGGGACACCTAGGTTGCTTCTACCTTTTGGCTGTTATCAATAATGCTGCTATGAAAATGGGTGTGCAGATATCTCTTGGAGATCCTGCTTTCAATTTTTTTTTACTTTGCATCTGTTCTCTAAAGCTTGATCTCCATCTTTTTATAGAGCACTTACTTAGGTTGTGGGAATGGTGGCAGAGTGGAATCTCTGTTTGAGTTGACTCAGCTTCTGCTTTAGGGAGATATTAATGCCTTCCTGTCTTTGGGTAAACATATGAGTTGATTTGACTTGGTTTTTTCATTGAGAGGTGGCATACCACGTCCAGCAATACCTACTGGAAAGTATTAGAGAAGAAAGCCTTTCAGAGACTGTCGCATCTCCTTGCAGGTAACCACCTGCCATATTGAAACATGGCGTTGGGCAGGATGCAAGAAAACATATGACTAGTTGGGTGTCATACCATCTGATTGATGCAGTGGCAAAAAAAAAAGAAAAGAAAAGAAAAAGAAAACAAAACTCGTTTCTAGTCTGGCTTTGGATAACTTACTAAGATTGCCAAAAAGTAGCTCTAGCCAGGTAGCTCAGTTGGTTTGAGCATTGTCCCAATTCCAAGGTTGCAGGCTTGATCCCCAGTCAGATCAAATAATGAATCATAAATAAGTGGAACAGAACATTGAAATTCCTCTCTCTTTATCTCTCTCTCTCTCTGAAATTAATAGATAACAATTTTAAAATATATTGCCAACAAGTTAATCAAACCACAATTGAAATTCCTCTCTCTTTATCTCTCTCTCTGAAATTAATAGATAAAAATTTTAAAATATATTGCCAACAAGTTAATCAAACCACTTATAAAAACAAAGAACGTGTCTTCCAGAGAGAGTCTCCCATGAGCTTAGCTTTGAATTGTAAACTCTCCTGCTTGATTTGCTTTCAGAAAGGTCCTTCAGGTTCGACTTGCCTTATAGGTCTCCACAGGCAACTGATAGTGACAGCACTGGACTTGGGTTAGAAGACCACAGCACAGTAGGTCAGGAGTCCAAGTATGGAGTCATCATTTTGATCATTCATATGAAATCTCAATACTCAAGACACTTGTTGGTTGGTATTTCTCCACATTTCAGGATTAGAGACTTGAGATTTGGTGTTGAATAGGTAACTACTTATTTCAGCGATTTTCTACCGGTGTGCTGCAAGATTATTTAGTTAGGGACACTGTCTTCTCTTTTCCTTTAAAAATGGCATCAGCCAACACAATAGCCTCCCAGTGTGAATGAATCAAAATTATATCTTTTTCTGTCAGATTGGCAAATAAGAGATTTTTGGTGTGCCACAGACTTAGTCATTGGTTCGTGTGTGCCATGAGATGAAAAAGGTTAAAAATCACTGACTTATTTTAGTGAAAGATTAGTAAAGTAATATGTAGGCACTTTTTAAGGAGGTTAAAATAATATTGCTCCCAAAAGCTAAATACTATATACATTCCTAGAGAAGAAGCAAAAATTTTGAGCAGTAAAGAATTTAAATTACTTTTTAAAAGTTATTTTTTGTTTGCACGATCTCTTCTTAGAAGAAGAAGCTAAAGGCAAAAGCATAGCTGTATACCCTCGGCACCAGGTTATAGAAACCATAGCCAATGGGACCGTGGTTTTCAACAGGGTAACCTGCCTTCCCCATCAGGCTGGATGCATCAGACTTTCAGGGGATGCGATCGCTTCTCGGCCTTTTGGCTAAGATCAAGTGCAGACTTTCAGGGGATGCAGTCCAGAGTTTAGCACCTTGAAGAGCCACGGCACTGGGACAGTTGTACCAAGACTTTAAATAAGTGGAGTTTCAGGCACTCAAAGAATTACAGATGTTGAAAAAAACACCCTCAACTGCGAAGAACCTCTGGGACAGCCTTTCAGGTCATTCCGACAATCTGTAGCCTCTGATTTCCGGGTCTTTGTGCTCTTAGCTGAGCGTCCTGACGCTGCAACTGGGAAATACCCATTTCTGGGAGCAGTTGTTCTGGTAAATCAAATCCTGGATTATGACAACACTCCAATAAGGCAGAAGCACTCAGATGACATGCCCTTTGAGATAAGCCCCGAGGGAGCTCTCACGAGTCCTGAAACCTGCATGCAGTCCTTCAGGGCTTTGCCCGCTTGGTGAGGAAGACGAGCCTGCCAGGGTTTCTTCGGCACCGCCTCTGGGAGTCTGAGTTAGAACACAAATGCAGCCACAGCCTGGCCATCCTTCCACCCGAAAGACACGGCTGTGGAATTGCGGCTCAGGTGAATGAAGCTGTGGCCACTTCGGTAGAAGCGTAAAGAAACCCTGGATGATGCTTTCACGTGCTCTCAAATTGCCCAAATTGTAAGGAAGAAATATGCATTGAAAGCTTCAAACATAAAAGATTTCATTACGGTATTTCAATATATCCGTTTAAATAGGCTGTGGGGGTTTTTTCCTAACTAATTATAACCCACTTTGGTCACAAAAAGCAAAGAGAAGAACTTTGTCACATGGGTGTAGCACAAAGTATTATCTTCCTCTTTGACTCCTTGCCAACAAAGAAAATGCCCTTTCTCCATTAAACACTCTGGGCAAGATACCGAGTGGGAGAAAGGGTACTTTCCAAAGAAAAGATAAAACCCTTCCAGCATTCACAGTGCTTCTTCAGTCCGGAAATTCAGGTTGGTTACCCAGAGGTTACAAATGACCTGTTTGCTCAGACCTTTTTAGAATAGAACCTGCTCAGAAAGCTTTGCACAGCCCTGAGGAGCTTGTACTTAGGGAGGTGTGTTTTCTTACTCATGGTTCAGCTCATCACAGCGAACAATGGGTGCATGTGTGGCACTGTTGTAAACACTCCGCAAATATTAACCCTTTGCGGTCCAATTTTATTTTTGGAATTCAAACAGTCTGGTCCAAATTAATTGACGGGATTGAATGTTGAACCGGTTTGCAGTGTCGACCTCAGCCTCAACGTTGGACCTGCTCCTAGCACCTGGTCTGTCGAGTCAGCCTCGACGTTGGACCTGCTACTAGCGCCTGGTCTGTTGAGTCAGCCTCGACATTGGACCGAAAAGGGTTAACTCATTGAATCCCACAACCCTACATAGTTTTTACTACCATCCCCACTTAACAGAGGAGAAAACTGAGGCAGAGAGAGGTTAACAGGTTTGTGAAGAATCAAACACAGGAGAAGCCCGGTTCAAGGCCATTCTCTTAGCCACTAGGATGCACTGCCCCTCAGCTCTTGAGTCCAGGCTCCATCTCTTGCTAGCTGCTGGACCACTTTACTCTGTGACGTGAGACTATTAATGACAATAAAGACTCAACTCTTTAGAGTTTGGCCAGGAACTATCCAGGCATTTAGTGCTTTGCCTGCCTGCAGTATAATGGCTGGAACATGCCAGTTTCAAAGGAAATACATATTTAGAAGTGAACTAACAATAGAACTCACATCCTTGTGAATTTCCACCCATTCATGCTTAAGATATATTGGACTGAGTCACGAGTTTTTGATCAAAAAAGGTGTGTGTTTGTGCATGATACAATTATTGCTCCTTAGGCCAAATACCATTCAGTTTCTAAAAGAGCTCATGTTTACGATATTGGGCAAAATATTGCCCTCAGTTATAGGCCTGGGAGAACATGTCTTGTTGGAAGTGTGTGCATATGTGGGTGTGTTTTCCTGAAAGTGATACGCTACCGCATGCATGTCACACTCAACAAAATTTTTCTATAAAGAAAATAGCAGCACAGAAAGAGCTGAGTTTTGCACCACACTATTTTCATGAGACTGTCCATATTGTCCCTCTCATAGGGCACCCTGATGACATCTTCTTTAATTTCACAGGAGACTGAATTTCCCCAAGGCTCTACTATATTGCACGCTCCCTGTTCACTGACAATTTTAAAGCTTATGATGTGTAAGTTTTCAGAATCAAAATTTTGATCAGTGTTAGAACTTTTTATCTGCAAAACTTTGTTAGGAAAATTCAATCCTTGAAAACTCAAACTGCCCACAGTGAGAATTTCTCACTTTTTTCCAGTAGCAATTGCTGAGTTACCAACCTAAAAGGAAGTAAGTCAGGCAGGGCTACAGGGGAGAAGAAAAAATATGTTGATTCTTATTACCAAATGGCACCCCTCACCCCCACCCAACTTCTAATCATGTCCCTTAACTGTCAATAGTGATTGACTCTCATCTCTCAGGCCTCTACGGCTATTGAGTGGTTTTCCATGGGAATCCCCCTGACTCCCCACACTGGGCTTAGCAACTTTCTAAGCCCATAAAAAGTAGAATCTGTTCAACACCAAGCCACGCTCTGGCTCTGAGACAGGTTCAACAGCATTATCCTACCCACACACTTCTCCTTTGAGAAGTTCCAAGCGGAATGACTTTGCCCAGGGAACTAGAGCTGTTTCTATATAAACAAGCCATTAGTTTTTTAAAATATTGAGCTTAATAACAGGCTACTTAGTTATTTAATTTATCTATGCCCCCCTTTTTTACAGAGCTGTTAATAGTGTCAACCTCTTATGTAATTACTAGAGGCCCGATGCATGAAATTCATGCAAGGGGCTTGGCCCTCGCAGCCCCGACCGGCCCTCACAGCCCCCTCGAAGCCCCTTCAAGCCCCGGCTTCATCTGGAGGGTCGTTCTGTTGTTCGGTCTAATTAGCAATTAGCTCTTTATTATATAGGATGTAATGCTTGTAGAATGCATAGTGTCTGCATGTTGTAAGGGCTCAGTATTCAACAACTTGGTAGCTATTTTTATTAAGTGTGTGTGTGTGTGTGTGTGTGTGTGTGTGTGTATAACCTTGTGTGAAACAGTACTTTGTTTAAAACAGTAGACTCTGATGTCTTATAGAATGGGCTGGTCTGACAGGTTATGTAAGTTAAGGGGTAAGTTACCCTCATGATTAGTGAGTATGGAAGCACAATGAATAGTTCTACCTCCTTTCAGCCTCGGTTCCTTGTTTCCATTGCCACTCGTGTGATACATGACTTGCTCTGAAAACAAGTGAGTCATTAACAGTAAGGTCTCTTTAGGACATCAAATTAACATCCAGATGGGGATCTAAGTGGAGGTGACCATGGTCACTGTAGTGATGCTCCATCTTGTTGATTAGGGACCTTCCAAATCCAAATGAAGGTCCATTTTCTGTGACTCTATATTGTCCAGTGAGGTGTGAAGTATCTGTCTTATCTCTCAACCCTGCAGCTTCTCTTAGAGATAAAGTTTCCAGGGGAACAGTGAACCTAAGGGTGGGGAGGAGGGAGGCACATGAGTCACTTCTCAGTTGCAAAATTTTGGAACTTCTCAGTTTCAAGAAATACAGGAATCAAAAAAATAATATTGTAATACAACATTTTAAAAAATCAGAATTAATGCCAAAAACCCATGAGGAACAAACTATCAAAATATTAATTAAAGACAGTATCCAATCCTGTGCTTGCAAAGACCCTGCCTCTCTTGCTTCTCCCTAACCTTGGTTATTGTGCAGCCTGACACTGCAGAGGAGACATGTTATGTGTAAGGGTGCTCTGCACGGTGTGTGTGTTTGCAGGGCAGAGTGTGTGACCTGGTATACCTGCATGTTAGTGACCTAAGCTTCTACTAGACATAAATCCAGAATACGCCTTTGTGCTCCATATTGAAAGTACTTATCTACACTAATAAAAGAGAAAGATGCAAATGGACCATACCTTTGTGACGCCCATCAGCCAATCAGGAGTTAGTATGCAAATTAACCCAACAACGATGGTGGGTTAATTTGCATACACAGGTGCTGAGCGGCTGGGGGCGGTGCGGACCTCTGGGCAGTGTGGGAAGGCAGAAAGGTGGCTCCAGCCCAAGCTAAGGCGGTGCCGGCAGCCAGGGGAAGGAAGGCCCATTCTTGCATGAATCTTCATTCATTGGGCCTCTAGTATCTATTATATTTCTGAGAGTAATAGTAGCAAAGGTGGCTACATTTTGTTGAGTGCTTACTATGTGACAGCTGTTCTGTGAGGCATTGTATGTAAAGTAATGGTCTCTTTAATGCTCGCAGTAACCCTATGAAGTAGGGACCGGTATTCACCCTGAGAGGAAAGTGAGTCAGAAAGTCAAGTCGCTTGCTTGAGCTTACCCAGACAACAGGGGGCAACCCAAGACGAAGCTGTAACTTACCCACTCAGGGTTTGAATCTAGATCAGCATACTTAAAAATGTGCTTTATGCCTCCAGAATGGTTTAGTCGGTTTGGGTGATGGCCTATCAGAATTGCATTGCTAAGAGCTAGCCATGTGTCCTTTAAGACTTATGCTTGCCATTCCAGAGATACGCATTAGGAATCATTTCCCCCTGCACCACACGGCTTTCCCCAGTGCCTGCTCTGCTTCTCCTTTGTTTTCTGGTGTTTGTTGGGAGGAAGGGAGGAAGGAGAGAGAGTGAGAGGAGGGGGGAAGATGATGACGATGGTGATGGTGGTGGTGGCGATGGTGGCAGCATTTACCGAGGCCTTTATCACATGCCAGGTACTGTGATGAGGGTTTTACGCACGTGACTTCATTTAGTCATCAAAAAGGCTAGGAAAGACTGGTTAATCCCCATTTTTTGGTCAGAAAACTGAGTCTCTGAGAATGTAAGTAACTTGTCCAAGGTCACAAACTCAGGCAAGGGACAGGTAAGGTCTGCGCTCTTACTGCCCACATTGTAGGATGGAAGGAAGAAGAGCTAAATGGCACTGTATTAGATTAGCCTCCAGCCCGTCTTCGAGCCCTCGGAAGTGGTTGCTGCTCCTGGAGCAGTCCCCAACTTTCCCAGGGCCCGGTTGTCCTGCGGGCCACAGCTATGACCAGCGTCCTTTCTGGTTCCAACTACCAAACCCTTCCAGGATATCCCCAGAGGACATACTGTACAGCTGTCGAGGGTGCTGGGATTTTATTTCTCCAGTGCTTTTTTAGGATAAAATAGCCTTACTTAGGAAGTTTCCAATGAATATACCCAAGTTAAGAGCAGGCAGCAAAGGAGCCGCGATTATACTTAAATACTCAGTGCATGTCATCAGCTCACAATTTTTATTCCTAAGGATTTAGAGAACATTTTGCCAAAACTGTAGTGCCCAGGTGTTAGAATATCTCTGGAAAAGGCTTATCTGAACCACAGAGAAAACAAAATGGGAAGAACTAAAAATGTTGTATTAATTTCCTCTTCAGAAGAATCATAACAAATCTGCTATATTAGCATCAATCTCAACTAAAGCAAACCTGGCGAGTAAGCCCTGTAAATTGCATGAGGATGCACAGGAGCCACCCAGAGGCCAGGAGCTGGCTGATCACTGTTTAACAACGGGCTTTCCAGGAGGGAGAATGCCCTGGTCTGTGCCGTTAGCCTATTACCATGGTGTAAATATTCCCACCATGGCCTATTTCCTGCCTACCAAGGTGCTACCCTGGATGTGAAGCTGGGAAGAGATGCACGGGACTAGCTCTCCTGAAGAGCACACCATTGTTCTAGCCTCTCAGGGAGGAGTGATCAGATGAGCCACTATTTCAGTCTGTGCTTAATCCTGGAGAATTGGCCTCGCTCTCTGTGTGACCTTGGGCCAGTTGCTTCACCTCTCTGGGCCTTTGTTTTCTCCTTTGCAAAGGATAATATGAAAGGTCCCTTTCCCCTCTGCCATTTTAAAGTTCTAGAAGGCAGTGACTCCGGCTTTCTCCAACATCCAAATGCCTCTAAGCGCCTTTGCAGAAAACCAAGTTAGCACCGTGCTGCGCCAAACGGGCCGCCAACTTCATCTCCTGAGCAGAAGGTTTGGAAGGAGCGACTTCTCCCTTTTGCCTCTTTAAATGTGTAGCCAATGGGGCATCATCCACTTTTTACACTTCTCTTGCTGGATGTGAGATCCAGGAGGAATGGATGTTCCAGGGCTTGCTTGCTCTCCTGGGGTGGGAATCTGTGCGTGTGATCCACGGAGCCGCTGCGCTCTGCGGGGCCGCCCCGCCACCCTTTCCGCAGTGGGGCGCGTCCTGATGGTGCTCTACCTTTGTGTGTGTTTATTTTTTACTCCCTCGAAGCCATTTACAAGAAGGGGAGCCACTCTTGTAAAACAGGGGTGGGGGTCGTTATTTTTTCCTGGAAGGTGGCACGTCTCTCAGCAAAGAGAAAAGGCATGTCGCCCAAGGCTTGCTGGCAGTGAGCGGAGCCAGCGCCGCTTTGCCTGTTGTCACAGCCAAAGCAAAATGCCACCTCTGCCTGGAAGCCAGAGCGCCGCATTCCTCTTTGTGTCCCTGAGAGGCACCATCGTAAGGCCCTGGGCTTGCAGGTCTGGCCAGGAGGTCATCCGGGCCCCTTGAAGGTCATCTTTCATCCCCAGGAGCTGGGGGTGGAGGGTATAGACTATAGAGGGATTGCTCATAACTCTCAAAATAGGTTACCCGAGTCCCCAGGTTGCATGTCAGAAACAGCCAGTAAATGTGGAATTTGAGGTTTGGGGTGAACACAAGAGCATCCCCAGTTGCCCAGAGTAAGGTCACGCCAGTGACCCAGTGACACCCCTGTCCCTGGGCCTCTTCCTAACAAACCCAAATCCAGTGACAGCACAGGCTCCAGATCCCAAGGCAGGAGGTGCCAAAAACACCCCAATAACCACTACCCCCCCTGAAAAAAAGTTTCCGTAACATGTTCTCACTCCTAGAGGGGAAAACCTGTCCATGCCTGAAGCAGCCTGACCCGGCAAGTGCCCCTCCACGGAGGGGAGCGCAGATCTCAAGACAGAAACCCCCACCCTCACCGCCTGCTCCCTGGGGAGGGACAGAAGGTGCCTCCCCCGACAGCGTCGCCTCCTGATCTTTAAAAGAGCAGAAGTTGGCGGCGAGGCTGCGGCGCTGCCTTGACTGGGGCGTGTGGTCTCTGATGGCGGCTGGGCTCCAAGGAGAGCGCAGTTGGCTCTGCTGAGGAAGGAGCCCAGACATAAAAGATCTGAGAGAGGCCGCTGAGCGCCATGGCTGAGACACTGCCGCTTCTTGCAAGGTGAAACTTGGCAGCTCTCCCTCGCAAGTAAAAACCCAAATTAATTTTCTTTAAGAAAATTAAGTCAGAAACAAGGCTTGGGAAAAACTGTGAGTGTTAGGCATAAACTGATTTTGGATGATCTTTAGGTGAGAAAGGGTGGAGTTACCCTCAGAAACATGTTTTTATTTATGCTTTTCAGATCCCCACTGGTGTGCAGTGTATGTGCGTGTGTGTGTGTGTGTGCATATGTATGTATGTGTGTTGGTTAGCATGAGCGTGTGCATCGTCTCAATTCTCTAACCACTCTTCTTTTCTTTTTTTTTTTTTACATCTTTTCTGTGCCCAGTTCATATAGATGCCCAATAAATAACTCCATAGGTCCATCCACACCTTTTCATTTTATTTGTAAATTGTTTGGTATAAGCGGCAATGCGTAATGAAACCTGGTGAAGTTTAAAAGATTAGATTTTTTTTCATACTGACACTTCATAACACTGTTCATATGTCTCCGAGTGAGATTTATGAATATATGAGCAGTGCTGCAGAATTAAACCGCACCAGAGACTTCCTGCTCCACAGGGGTGGCAGTCTAAAGTGACACAGCTTCAAGCATTTTTCACAGACAAGAAGCAAAATTTAACCCCCTTCAGGGGAAGTATGATTTCAACAGCTTGAAATGAGCTCATTTCTAGATGGTTTTTTTTCTCTCATCTTCCATAATTTTTTGGTGTTAAGATTAAAACAGATTGCACAGCCCATGTAAGGGCACGGAAGAGGCCCAGAGTATAATTTGGCCATTAAAGAGAAACCCTCTTTCATTGTCTTGATCCAAATACCCCAGCGAGGAAAATGAAAGTAAACTTGGTCCTAGATTTTTTTAAGGCTCTTAACCATGATTCTTGGAATTGTCCTTAGCAGACGAAGGCTGGATATTTCAAAAGGTAAGTAGTAAGTGGCATCAGTTAGCTCAATGGAGAAGCCCTATCTCCTGGGCACCAAGACAATAGCATTAGGAAATAAACAGAGACTTGCGTCTCCAGTGAGTAAAACTGACCAACAAAACGGAGAATCAGAAGAGAAAGTGTGATCTATATGAATTGATCATACAGTACACGAGGTGTCCATAGTGGAGGGATTCTGTTTTACATTCAGAGTCCAGACCCATCTCTTTTAGTCTGGTCTGGTCTCTTGAGATTGTGTGTCAATGATTGTTCATGATCTCTATGCTCTTGAATCCTCTTTAACCATTTTGCTTCCCCTTGGAACGGAGTGGGGTGCCTGCCCCTCTCTGCTCTATAAACGCCCATGACGTGTCGCTGGAGAACTTTTGTCTCTCTTTTCAGCAATGGTACAACAGCTCCATGAGTGTGATCTGCACCTGGTTGACGGACCGGATGGACTTACAGCTTCACATTTATCAGTTGAAAACACTAATTAGGATGGTAAAGGTAAAAGAAAAGCATTCTTCTTCTTTGCAAATAGCTTACTGAAATGCGTTTCATTGGCAAACTGCAGAACTTCCTTAACACAAGGAATGTGGGTTTACATTAAAACAAGATGATTTCCACAACAGTATCTCATGCAAGAAAAACCTCTCAAGTTATTGTGGGATGCATGGTTCATTTATTGCTCAGACGGCAAAGGAAATTTTAAGAGAAAAGAATTTGACATGTTTTCAAGGCTGCAAAGGTACTTTATGTATTTGCCATGTAAAAATACCACAGGGGCCTTCGCACCCTTTGCATTATACTTTCAAAAGCTGGCTTTTGGTACCACGATGCTAATCACGTCAGTTACCAATTTTATTTATGGTTGAATTAAATATGTTTTTGCCACAATTGATTTAATAGAAATATTTACCCCCAGCTATTTCTAAAATATGTCCTGAGATCATTATCAGGATGCAAATCAATATTGTTCTGTCGTTAATTGAAGTAGTTTCTCTGACAATGCCTGCGTGCGACCCAATGGAAAGGCTCACAAAGGTGAGATCACATACCCTGAAAGTAGCTTTTCTCCTGTTCTTGCGTGTGTGCCTTGGACTAATGATAATTATTTCAGCGTGAAATCTCAGTGGTTTACATGAAATAATAAGATCACAGAAGGGGGTAAATACGTTTTTGATCATTTCAGTTTCCATTCGATGCTTCTCTGTAGCAGGTTTAAAAACAGTTGTATGCAAAAGTCTCACTCAAAGTCTCTTTCAAAATATGTTAGCAATAAAACGTAGCTGAATTTATATTTCTTAACAGTTTGCCAAAGGTCCCTCCACCCCTGCTACCCTACCCCCTCCCCGATCCCCACCTCCTTTTCTTAGTCTCCTGCGGATTAGCACCATTTCACTGAGGTGCTCCTCTCCCCAGTGCGGACAAAACCAGCTACTGTTCTGTTGAGTGTAATTATTATCATCTGTGAGTGATCTGGCAGTGTCTACCCAGGGGAGGTTACAGCAGTGCACTGCCGCTCTTAAAGAAGAATATGTCCACTCGAACTGTGCCCCAACAGAATTTTCACATTTTTTTATTTCAGTTCCTTAAAGCAAATTCACTTAGCCATATTGTTTGACTACCTGAATTCCATTTTCTGGGTATAAATTCTCTTTGGGGAATTTCTGTTTGACCCTACTGAATAGACATGAAAAGGAGACATTAATTTTAATATTTTAAAATATCTTCCCACTACTAATATCTCTAGGTCTATGTTGGGAATATTGGAATTAGCACTATTTTATTAAGAAAAAAAAAATATGTCAGAGAGGAGGTTTATTCTTAGCCTTCTGGAAAAAAAAAAAGACATGAACCATAGAGGAGGGACACAGAAACATCACTGTCAAAGGACCCCTTCACTTTTGTCAAAAGTGGGCCTGACCGCCCTTAACTAGAGCCTCAGTATGGGGGGGGGGGCGGAATTCGCCTCCTCTTTACAAAGTACGTTACCCAGAGTCTCCTTCTCCGAGGCAGACGTCAGAAGGTAACTGGCTTGCTTTCCCGCCTCTGTAGGTATCCACCCAGCCATTCATTATTCAGCAGCATTTCCTCATCCATCCAACATGGGACAAACATTAGTTGAACTTATATAGTACAAGATGGAGGACTGAAAAGTAATGAGATGCAGTCCTGCCCAGCTGGAGAACACACTGCTCTGGATTACGCATAAAGGGGAGAACACTCAAGTGCTTTCCACCTTTTAAAACAAGTTATGCTAAGTGTCCGCAGGATAAATGAAAAGTAGCTCTGGAATACGCATAAAGAGGAGAACACTCAAGTGCTTTCCACCTTTTAAAACAATTAAGTTATGCTAAGTGTCCGCAGGATAAATGAAAAGTACAAAACAAATCAGGTTAACTGCCTGGTACCTGGTACCTACATCTACCCAGCCTCCTGGCTTTGCCCCTCAAGGTGAAGACAGTTCAGGTAGCTACCTAGAGAGCTAGCATGTCCATCCACACTTAGGATGACCTTCTAACTTAGTGTCAGAACCAGGTCACTTTTCAGGGGGAAAGCAGGTGCTATGAAAAATCAGGCCGGATCAGCAGGTATAAGCTGGCCAAGTAGACATGGAGTCATCCTGTCAATCATCTTATATGATTGGCCTTTGCAAGCTGGATGCATTCGCTAGTTAACTGTGCAGTCATTACAATGCATGACCTTCAGGAGGGGTTGACACTGGGACCGGGACACTATGCCTGCTTTAGAGGGCGTTGCAGTGTGTCCCCGGTCCTTCTCTCGCTCCCGTAACAAGTTCCCCACGTCAGTAGGGAAGCAAACAGCAGACTCGCAGCTAAATGAGATGCAGTGTGACGGGAAGAGCGGTAGCTAGAGAGAGACTCTCTCAGTGCAATTCCCTATGAAGGAGACGACAGCCAGATGCTTCTGGTCATGTTCAATTAACGCTAAGGGATTTCTAGAAAAACAGTCCGTGGGCTACCTAAGGAAATCCGAGAGAAATTGCCTGGAGGAACAAAGAAAGAGTCTGTGGTACAGTAATCCCAAACCAGTCATCTTGAAAGGGGGCCAGATTTCTTCCCTGAGACCCTGAAGTTGTGAGCGGAAGAGACGTGCTTCTTTCCCAAGGAGACGAGACACGAGTCACATGCCTGCAACATGCGGGCGAGGCTCTAGCGCTCCGTCTCCCGCAATCCTTGCTGCGCCTAATAGGCTTCCCACACCACATGCATATGTCTGTCTTGTGAGTGAGACAGAGGGCCATGCAGTTACGAGCCTCAAAAATACTAAAGACCAGACTGCAACACGAATCGCAAAATACCATAATCACTCGATCCATAATTTATATGCTAATAGCCCCTTATACTGTCTCTCATATCCTATTATAATAACGTAAGAGAAAGAACCAGACCCCCCCCCCCCAAAAAAAAAGGAACCAAAACAATTCTGGAACATTTCCCTTTATGGAACTGAATAAACACAAGCTTATGTTCTTTGCTTTGTCTCATCTAATACAGTGTATCCTGTCACAGTGTCTCATTTTCTGTCACTCAACAAGTCTGTTTCGGTGCCAGTGCAATCTGAGCGTGGTGGCTTTTCATTTGACCACGCGTGAAGTGTGACTGCGGCTGACGGCCAGTGTTCTCACACCCCACCTGCTCTGTCCTGTCCCTCCCCTCCCTTATCCCTGCATCTCTTCCTCCCTAGAAAACCTACAGGGACTTCCGATTGCAAGGGGTCCTGGACTCGACCTTGAACAGCAAGACGTATGAAACCATCCGGAACCGTCTCACTGTGGAGGAAGCCACGGCGTCAGTGAGCGAGGGCGGCGGCCTGCAGGGCATCAGCATGAAGGACAGCGACGAGGAGGATGAAGAGGACGATTAGAAGGCCCGGGCCTGGACCCTGTAACCAATGCATGTCCTTAGTCTGTTAGTTACCCCCTTAGGGAATTTTCTGTCCCCCACCACGCCCATGAGATGTTTACCAATACAATTGCCATTTTAGCTCTGTGGTATCAAGATTAGCAAATGACCTTCAAGCCCCCCCATCTCCTGACCCACGACTATATGTTTACAGCGATCTGGAGCACCATTCTTTAAGTCCTGTTCATGGAGACCACGTAGTCCCACTGCTAGGCGTGTCCCTTTGCCAGCAAAGTCCAATGATGCTTCATTAACGTACCGTGTATGCGTTGACAGTGAATGGATGTGAGGGCCAGTTCACCCCGTACTTTCACTTCTTTGTTTCACGTATGTGGATGTCAGTTATTTAAATGAGTATAATAAATATTTAATTAAGACACATAGTTCCGCTTTGTTTTTTGAGAAACAAGAGGCAATGCTCCAACAACCAACGTTTGGTTCTCTCTGTTCCCTTCAAGCTAAACAATGAACCCCTGGTGACCTTGTTACCACCCTTTCCTTTCTCCTCATAGTTAGCCAAAACAGGATGGCTACGTACCTGTAGGTTGATCCTCCTCATTGCCATGGCAAAGGTTATCCTACCGAGACTCCACATCAAGCACAGTTCCGAGCAACTGTCTTCTGTCCAACTTTATCCTATTACATGTTACATTATGCTTTTCTGTTTCAATAACCGTGTATGTAAAAAAAACTGAGTATTTAAATTACAACCCTAGGCTATACCTGTGTTTATAATAAGATATGGGTATTTCCCTCAGTAGACTGTAACCATGATTTCAATGGTTTGGTTCCACCTGTTTTTTATATCTGTCATGTACATTGCATTTTGACCTGTAACTGCACGACCCTGGGGTCCGCTGCAGAGCTCTTTCTTTCTGTGTAAACTAGTGGATCCATCCTGCTTTTGCCTTATATAAAGCCTACAGTTATGAAAGTGTGAACAACTGTGGCTTCTCAATAAAGAACTATTCAAACGTCCGAAGAATACACTTGTGAGTCTTTTTTCCTCTGTCTCCTGGAGTCAGAACTGAAACACATGAAGCGGGAAGAGGTGGGGACGGGAGGGAGGAATGGTTTTCTTAGCGCGCTCTCGCACCTGCTAGACTGGGTCGTTTTCTGAGCTCGTCTGCACGAGGGACAGCCGGAAACTTGGTGGATTCAGCCTCCACTGATGCAGAGTCTGCGGGCATTTGGACATGTTGGGCAGATTACACTTGCATTATAGGATAAATAAGGGTTTGCTAAGCAAGGGAGTCGTGTAAACGAGAGAAATGTTTCTCCTGTGCGCAGAGAAGGCCAACAAACTGTTTTTAAGCACCACTTTAACAGCAGTGTTTGCATTCAAACAAAGCGTGTGCCAATTATATATGATTCTTATATATTTGTTACAGCATTTTACAGGATTCTCTACGATGTGGAGCCCGTCTCTCTTTCCCCAGCCTTGTCAGCAATGTAATCACCTGGGTCTGAAGGAAACCAAGGCGGCGTTGCCTGGTCTCTTTCATCTGTGATTGTCCCTAAATCAGGCTGACCTTGCCTGGAGCTGACCGAGGTTTAGGCGAAATGACCACTTTTCCAATAGGACCAGGCACAGTGCTCACCACTTGCTCTCTACAAACCAACCCCTCTGAATAGCACCTCCCACTCTTGTTTAATCCTCGACGTCTGCAGGTGCAAATCACAGTGCTCCTTGCCCTTGGTGGGATTATAAGAATAACTCTCACGTATTGAGCAGCTCTTCTATGTCAGGCAATCTGCATATATTACCTCATTTAAATATCACAACAAACTTGAGAGGAGAGGACTGTTATTATCCTGCTTGTAAATGAGAACATTGAAATGAGAAAGGTTAAGGTAACTTGCCCAACCTTGGCCCAACTCCCTGTAGAAACGTGAATCCAGAGGACCTGGTGCTACGAGAGGTGGGATGCATCATTCAGGTGGGAACAATCTTTGCCCAATGGCACCACGTTAAGTCAGTGTGACAACATTTTTATCAAGTTATTTGTATTATGTTCTGAGTTGCAAATTAAAGCATATTTCCTGCAACAATGACAAACAATTAAAAAAAATGTGCAAGTAAAGAGGAAGCATCTGCCTACTGTATGAAAGTGGAAAAGAAAAAATGCTCAGGAACTCTGGGAGAGAGCAAACTGAGCGAGTCAGATAACTAACCTAAAGACACGATCCAGGAGGCATAAAGAGACCCAAGTCATAAAGACTGTCTCTAAAACCAAGGCTAAAACATTTCCAGGAGACTTCCTCACAGCCTCCCAGTGAGGGGCGTGGTGAGTAGTGGTTCCGGAAGGGGGCTGTGGGGAGGACGTGGCATCAGAAGAGATCAGAGAGGAAGGACTGGCCAAGGTTAAGTCACGATTATCCTAGACACTCAAAGCTGAGAAGGAGGCAGTGTTGGTATCTTGATCTTTCTTTTTTTTTATTCCTTCGGGACAAAATCTTAAGTTTTCTGTTCTTTGCTTTTCATTATTTTTTATTAAAATATAAGACATACAGAAGAGTGCACAGATCTTAAGTGTACAGCTCAGTGATTTACCACAAACAGAACACACTCATGGAACACCACCAGGTCATAAACAGAAGGTAATGGACACCCCCAGGCATACCGATGCCCAGGCCCTTTCCCCATCTCTACCCCCTCCTTACTCTCCAGGGGTAACCACCATCCTGATTTCCAGTTGCATTCGTTGAATTGAACCCTTACATCATTAGAATCACAGCATATATTCTCTAGTGTCTGTTTTCTTTTAGCTCTACATTAGATTGTTGGTGTAGCTGTGGTTCATTTCTTTTCAACTACTCTATATTCCAAAGTATGACATTACCACAGTTTATTTATTCATGTGAAAGTGTGTTGTTGTTTTTTAGTTTGGGGCTATTAGGAATAATGCTGCCACGAATTTCATTGCACATGTCTTTTGATGCAATTGCCTGGTGATGGGTAAAGGCATGTTCATTTTTAGGAGACACTGCCAGTTTTCCATGGAGGTGAACAGAGTTATACTCTCACCAGCAGGGAAGCAACATCCTGGCAACACTAGGTATTGCCACTCTTTTTAATTTTTATCATCTTGGTAAGTGGTGTAGTGGTGTATAATTGTAGTTCACTTGATTATAAAAATGGAGTCCATACATATGCTTTATAACATATGTATGAGCAGTGGGTAGTCTCTCTTGGGAAACTCGTGTTTCTCCCCACCCCCCTTTTTTATTTTAGAGAGAGGTAGGTAGAGGGTGAAAGAGAGATACAAACATTGATCATTTGCCTCCCGTATGCACCCTGACTGGGAATCAAACCCTCCACGTAGGCATGTGCCCTGACTGGGAATCGAATCCTCGACCCTTCGGTGCACAGTGAGGCATAGAGGTGTTGATGGAAATGTTAACCTGATGGAAAAGCATTCACTGTATAACAATCAGGGCACATACTGATCGGCACTGCCAGAAACAGCCAGGCTCTCAACCTTCCTAATGCCGCGACCCTTTAATACAGTTCCTCATGTTGTGGTGACCCCCAATTTCATTGTTACAAATTGAACATAATTAAAGCTTAGTGATTAATCACAAAAACAATATGTAATTATATATGTGTTTTCTGATGGTCTTAGGTGACCCCTGTGAAAGGGTCGGGACCCACAGGTTGAGAACCGCTGCGTCTAACCCCTCTCTCTCATCAGCCAGCAGGACCTTTCTAAAAGGCAAGTGCCACCTGTCCCTCCTTCAGTTGAAAGCATCCAGTGGCTCCCCTCACTCGTGGAATGAATCCTAAGGTCACTAAGGTGGTGTGCACGGCCATGCCCACCCCTCCAGCTTCCTCTGTTAACGCTGCTCCTCTTACTCCGGGTGTCAGCATCCGCCACCATCTTTCACTTCTTCCTGTGCACCATGTTTCTTCCCACCTGGGACCCTCCCCCTCAGCACCTCATCTCATCCTTCAAATCCAGCTAATTTGGCTTCCCCAGAAAGCCTTTCCAAACCCCACCCTCAAGTCTGTGTCCATTTCCCTGGTAAACACCCTAACACTCTACTTCTCTCTCTGCGTTTCCATCACACTCTTCATGCCTGGGTATTTGCAGAACTGCATGTTGCATGCAGCATTTCTCTGACTCAGGAAGGTGTGGCCTGTACCAGTTCCCCTACTCTACCTTCATTGCATCTACTAAATCTACGACTAATAAGTGAAATCTACACGTACAAAACTGTAGATGATCTGATTACTATTCCCTTAGAACCTTTAGTCTAGGTCAGTGGTTGACAAACTCATTAGTCAACAGAGCCAAATATCCACAGTACATCTTCAAAATAGACTCAGCCAGACCGAAAACCGACTTCTGTGCATAGGCCAAGAAGTTTCAATCGCACTGTACGTGCGTGCCCGCACATGGTATTTTGTGGAAGAGCCACACTCAAGGGGCCAAAGAGCCGCATGTGGCCCACGAGCCGCGGTTTGCCGACCACTGGTCTAGGTAATATGAATCTTCAAAGGATTCAAGTAGATTAACTACTAGAAGATTCAGAGGGGGGAGAAGAAAGGATGGCTTCTAGCAGAGGCGGGCCTTGCAGAGCACAGAGAGAGGACAGGAAAGGGTGTAAACGAAAGCAGAGAGAGCTGAGGGGATGTGCCCCTTGGCTGAAGCTGTTTTCTTCTTTGATGCATTCCCAGTGCAGCTAGTAAACGCTCAACAAGTACATGTTGACTTAAGACGGCAATGACTATGCTCAGGGTGCTAGAGAAGGTTTGTGCAGGGCGTTGGGAAAGACTAGGGTGGGAAAGGTGGGTTCAGGTTTCAAAGGAGGACATTTAGTTTCACCGAGTTTGGGTTTGTCTGTCTGAATAACAGAGCTAACCAGGATTTTTATTTTTTCAAAATATTTAGAGACATTTTTTAAGTTTAAAAAATCAAATAGAGAAGAATTATATGAAACAAAAAGTTGAAGCCTCTTCCTTCCCCAACCCATTTCCCCAAAGTAGCCATTGCTAACAGATGGGCACATATTCTTCCACATATGTTCAAATCACATACATATATATTGGAG